GACAGCAGTGAATTATTGTTAGCATAGATCTATAGTTGTTCCAACACTATCTATCAAGCAGTTCTCCTTAATTCTTCTCCATCCAAGATTCACATTAGGATCATGAATTTCACTTCATGGTCACATCTCTTTCCACTACCACATTGCTATTGAGTACTTGTTTGGAAGTTCCAGCAAGGGAGCACAGTTGCTGGTATACCATTGACCAAAGGTTGGCCCTCTTTCATCAGGGAAGATCTCTCTCTTCCACCAAGTGCACATCCTTAGGTCGTAGGCATGTGGAGCTGATGGAACTACGTGCCCAGCCAACCAGAGTAGCTGAATGGAGCCTGGCAGTAACAGGGTGACAGGTGGCACAGCCACCAATTAATACTGAGTCAACTCTGTAAATCTCAGAGCAGAGCTGTGCTCATAAGGATTTCAGGAACTATTTATTGAGTTGCCAGGCCTTGCCTTTGAGTTGCCTCTGAGTGGGTTTGAGCCTTCACCTGCTAGTTAACATCCTAGAATCAAACTCCTGCATGTCTTTGTTGTGTTGCTGATTGGTGCTGTCAAGTTCCCACTCATAGTGACCTGACAGCCTGACCCATGCAGAGCCTCCTGATGCCATTGTGGCCCAGTGGGAGTATTATCATGGATCCTGGATTCCCCCACAGAGGTCTTGCTAGAAAGCTGTAGTTATCCCTTGGCAGTTAGTAATTGGAGATTAAGAGAATGAAGAAGGTGCAGGGCCCCAGTGGTTTGAGCACATACTGGGCATTGACTCTTGACCAGAGCCATCCTGCAATTCAGCCCAAGGACGGCATCTTGATTGGCTTTTAGGTAAACTTTTTTTTCTGCCAAGGAAAAACAGCATTGAGAAGCATATTTATTTTTAACCAAGAGGTTTTACTCCATTTGTAGGAAAAATACCCTCAAGTCTGAGAGGGCCAGATTCACTTGTTGATTAGGAATTTCTTGAGTGCTCTGTGTGTAGAAGGCACTATTCCAATTGTAGGGAGAAAGTCATGAAAAAAACAGACAAAATTCTTGCCCTCGTGAGGCAGTTAGATGATAAAGGACAATCTGTATCATTGTTCAGAAAGCATAAGTTGAGTGTCTTTTAATCAGGAAGGGAAATTTGGCAATGGACAGAGGTGACAGTTGGACAACCTGACTGTTGTAATCCTTTTATGTTAAAAATAAATAAGCAAAGTTGTCTTTTTTCCCACCATTATTCTCCCTCCTCAAAGTTGTATTCTGTTGCCAAGAATACAAGGAATAAAGAGAGCTAGTGAAGGGGATAGAGAATGATGAAGGTTTTTTTAATAAACAAAAATATTAAGTTAAACCTTAATTGCTACAACCACAGGGTTTTCTGGCTGCTGTCCTTCCAGAGGCAGCTCAAGGGCCTTTCTTTCCTGTCTCCTGCGTTGCCATATGGTGAATTTGAACTGCTAATCTTCCACTTACTAATGAAGAGCACACTGTTTACATTAGCCAGGACCACTGGGACCTTTCCTAGTGAAGCTCAGAGAGCTTTGGCCCTTGAGAGAGTCCTGGATGAATGCAGAGAAGCAACAAGGCTGGCAGGTAGGAGAGTCTGCCTGTCATGTGGACTGACCTGTGCAGAGGTCTTGAGATAAGGACACCATAGTGTGGGTTTGTGGCACAGGAGGAGGTCAGTGTAGCTGGCTGTAGGTACAGCAGTGGGCACAGTGGACCAGGTTGATCGTGCCAGGAGCCTTGTGGGTGCCTAAGGCTTGGGAGGAGTGTCATCCAGCATGTGGACCTCTGAGCTGGTTCTTCGCTGCAGCAGCCCTAAGAGGACATGGCCAGCCCCAGCCCTGAGGACAGCCTCCCCTGTTGATCTGAGAAAAGTAGGCCCTGAGGAGTGGCTCTCTGAAGGGCTCTGAGAGAGACAGCAGTGGAGATCTGTGCTCTTTCTCAGGAAATGAAAAATGGTGTCCAAAAGGACGTACTTGGAAAATTCCTTTTTCTCGCTTCTTCACCTCCCTACTCTACTCAGGGGGTGGTGCTTGTATGGAGGGGCCGGTTCTCCCCAGCACCCTGGTTTGCGGGTGTGAGCAGGCCCCTGACAAACCTTGGAAAACTGGGCGGGCTGGGTGATGTCAGGCCTTCAGATGTGGGGCAATGGGCTGGCGCTCCTGCCTCAGGCTGTCAGCATAGTGGCAGCTCACTCCCTCTGTTCCCAGCCCTGTACCCACTCCCAGGGCACTCCACAGAAACAGCCCAACCCAGGCCAGATTTACAGAACAAGAATAAGAGCTAGCACTTAGAAGCTAGGTACTTTGTGTCTCCTAACTCATTTAATTCTCTCAATGATCCTGGAAGGTGGTGTCTGTTATCTAGTGCTGTTATAAGAGAAATGCCACGTGTGGATGGTCTTTAGGGACATAAGTGTCTTTGTAGTTTAGGAGGCTAGATACCTGAGCCATGGGCACAGTTAGAGGAGGCTACAGAAGGGAAGGCCCTTGTCTTACTTCCCCCTTGGCCCTCCCACACACTTCTGTCTTCCCTGTTCTGTGCTCATGCCTTGCATGCCTAATCTGCTTTCCCCCCATATTTGTCTTTTTTTGTTTTGCTGAAAAAATATGTCCTTTGGCAGTTCAACATTTTTTCAAGCATGTTGTGTTACAATGTGCTGCCTAGTCATCTGCAGTCCATAAGAACCTTATGTACAACAGCTCTGAAGCCTGCCCTGTCCTGAGCCAGTCTCACTGACTCCCACACACCTACCCCCATTACCTTAGTTATTGTATCACCTGGGGTCTTTTTCTCCTGTACTGTCCCTTCACCCTTCTGAGCATGATGTCCTTCTCCAAGGATCAGTCCCTCCTGGCCATGTGCCAAAAGTATATGAGAAGGAGCTTCAAAACACTAGCCTCCAAATGCTAGCATCTTGGTTTCACTCTCTCCAGTACAGACTCAGTTGTTCTCTTGACCATCCACGGCTCCAGCGCCACAACTCAAAGGCAATGACTCTTCTTCTGTCATCATTAGTCACTGTCCAGCTCTCTGATGCATAGCTAGTAATTGTGAAGATCATGGCTTTGATCAAGTGCACCTTAGTCTCTAGACTGACGTTGCTTCTCAGTACTCTGGAGTGGTCTCTGACAGCTGATTTACCTAATGCAATTCATTTTAGGATTCTGATAATTAGGGAGAGGCCAACTCAGTCCACACCTTTGAACCTCTTTTTTTTTTTTTTTTTTAAATTTTATTATTTTGTGTGTGTGTACCGTCAAATCGGATCTGACTGGTACAGGAGGAGATTGTCCCTCCTTTTCCCGGCAGAGCATCTGGTGGCTTTGAACCGTGAGCCTCTGGGATCGCAGTGCAGTTTCTTGCCACTAGGCCACCAGAGCTCCCCTAACCTTTGAACCTCTTAATCCTATGCAAAATAAAAATTAAAACCCTCTTCTTCCTGTGTCCATATATAGTAGCATGGGCTGGTGCCTCTTAGCTGGGTGTTGAATGGAGGCAGGTCTGAGAGTGTGCTAAGGGGAGAAACATACCTGCTGGACTTCTACCCCTGAACTTCTCCAGGAGCCTTCTGACTCTGGTTTGTGGCCAAAGAGAAGTGGGCCTTTTGAGAAACCTCTTCAGTGAATTTTGAAACAGTTTTTCCTTTCCTTGTCTTTGAGATGTGTTGAAACATGATGTAAAAATGTTACGAGGAGTAATATCAGTTGTAGCAGATATTAGAGACAGAAAAAGGACTTAACCAAAACAAGTGGTCCTAGACAATGAAACTAAGCTTAATTTAGGAAAACTAAGGTTTCCCTCTGATTAAAACTCTGTTTCTCAGTCAGAGGCACTTTCCCTTGCGGAACATTTGGCAATGTCTGGAACCGCTTTTGGGTGCTGTAACTGAGGCTAGGGCCTGGTGAGTGGTGAACAGAAGCCCTGCTGTCCTCAGCACGCCCAGCGGAGAGAATCTGACCCAAGAGGCAATGCTGCTGAGTTAGAGAGCCTTGGATTTAAAGTCAGTGTACTTCGTTTTTACCCTGTGCCAGATGCTGTTCCAGGTGGCTTGCAGGTATTAACTTCCGTAATCCTCCTAACCCCATGAAACAGGAGCTATTATTACCCTCCTTGGACAAATGGGGAAGCAGGGACACAAAGAGGTTAAAGAACTGGACCATGCCTCTCATAATTACTCCAGGGCAGAATTCAAACTCAGTCAATCCTGGAGTCCTTTGTGCTGGGCTGAGCACATTCCCCATTGCTGTGGAATCAGTTCTAACTCCTAACAACTTTCTGCGGAGTTTCTGTAGCTGCAGATGTACTAGACTCCATATCTTTCCCCTACGGAGTGGCAGGTGGATTCAAACTGCTAGCCTTTCGGATGACAGCCCAACATAGATTAAGTATACCACCAGGGCTCCTCACTCCTCTTGAAAGCTAAAATAGACCCCAATCAAAACCCCACTTGCTGTTGAGTTCCCTCCAGATCTTGGTAACCCCATGTGGTTAGCAGAACTGTACGCCAGAACACTGAAGATACTTATTCAGCAACTGTACTCCAGAACACTGAAGATACTTGTTCAGCTTTAGATCACCTGGTCTTTTTGCACCAACACCCCTGGGTTGACTTGTACCACTAGCCTTCTCGTCAGCAGCTAAGTGTGTTAGCCTTTTGTACCATCAGACTCCTCATTAAGGCAGACTAACTTTGAGTCTGTGTTCTAACCTTTTGTGCAGAAAGCCACATAGCTAGAGATTGGGAGAGGAGGACCTGAGGAGAGTTCACACGGTTTCTCTTCATTCCAAAGCCTGGGAGATGGAGAAGGGCTGGACCTAGACTGGCGCTGCCCAGTGACCCCTCAAGGAGAACCTGGTTTTCCAGTTTGTGAGTGTGGCTCTGTCCATGGTTGTAAATTGCGGGAGAATATAGCCTCTTCCTTGATGTCCTGTGTCACTTGAGATCACAGTTGGGGTGAGGGAGAACAGCATGGTGTAGTGCAGAGACTCACAGATAGTATTGTTCATGACAGATGTCAAGACCACGGTGGTTTACCCTGCCACGGAGAAGCACCTGCAGAAATACCTGCGACAGGAGCTCCAGTTATTCCGAGAGACAGAAGAAGATTACAGGACCATCACATTGCCCTATCTGCAGTGCCAAAGCCTCAGCATCCAGGTACCTGACTGCCCAGGGTGTCCCAGAGCCTTAGCATCCAGGTTCCTGACTTCGCAGGGTGTCTCAGAGTCTCAGCATCCACATACCTGACTGCCTGGGGAGTCCCAGGGCCTCAGCATTCAGGTACCTGACTGTCTAGGGAGTCTCAGAGCCTTGGCATCCAGTTACCTGACTTCCTAGGGAAGTCCAAGAGCCTCAGCATCCAGGTGTCTGACTGCCCTGTCTGCAGTCATAGAACCTCCACACCCAGGTCCCTCACTGCCCAGGGGAATCCCAGAGCCTCAGCATCTAGGTACTAGACTTGCCTGGGGAGTCCCAGAACCTCGACATCCAGGTCCCTGAGTGCTTGAGGAGTCCCATGGGTGCTGTGACCCTGGCCAGCTTCCCCTTTCATGAGTCCCTCTCTTGGGCTTTCCAAGGGCCAAGCACTGTGGCAGGTAGTGGGGCCACAGCAAGGAAAAGTCAGCTATGTTTGCCCTCATGTTGATGTGTACTTGTAGGGACCAGAGTGCACATCTGTGCAAGTAATTGTATAATATGTGGATGTCCATCGGTACTGGGGACAAGTGTGAACAAAGTAAGCCAACAAGCTGAAAAGACCTGCATTGAGAGGCTAGATGCTTCACTGATAATAGAAATTGACATTGGTCTTGGGCCCCCCAGGGTACTTGGACTTGACAAGAAGGCTCTGAGGAATCTCAAAGCAGTCTAGTTCTTCATCAGAGTTTGCATTTACCATTATGTCAGCAGTTGCCCCCACTCGGTGGAGTCCTTGCACCCTAGTGCCTAGTGCTAACCTGTTCAGTGATTTCTGGCAGGTCAGACAGTCATGACCCATAGGATTTTCTTTCTTTTTAGTTGTTTCCTCTTTTATTTATTCACTGTTGCACATCCCCCCCCAACCAACCTCACAATGCACCCCTTGTTCTAAATTGTTCTCATACATATAATACATAATCATAAAATCCTTTCAGACATTTCTTCCCCTCATCTGTTTTAAATGTTCATTATCTATCCACTCTTTTCCCATTCCCTCCCCAACCCCCATTGTCTATCCTATTTTATAACAGCAGTATTATGCAATATTTGTCATTTTGTGATTGAAATCTTTCACTTAGCATAATGTCCTCAAGACTCCACCATATTATGCAAAGTTTTGCTATTTCATTGTTTTTCAGTGCTGCATGGTATTCCATTGTGAGGCTATACCATAGTTTTTCTATCCATTTATTAACAGGCACTTGTTTCTATCTCTTTCCTATTAAGAGTAATGCAGCAATAAACATGGGTGTGCATACGTCTGTTGCAGTTGTGGCTCTGTTTTCTTTAGGGGATATTCTCAGTCATGGAATTGCTGGGTCAAATGGTATTTCTATTTTCAACTTTTGAGAAAGCACCAGATGACCTTCCGTAGTGGTTGTACAGTTTTACATTCCCACCGGCAGTGAATAAGAGTTCCAGTCTCTCCACAACCTTGCCAGCATTTCTTGTTTGCAGACCTGTTGAACTTTTCTATTGTTGCTGGGGTAAGATGATATCTTATAGTTTTGGGGTTTTTTTATTATTATACTAGTTTATTTAAAAATTTTGAATATGTTGTTTTTCATACCAGTTTCCTTCCCATTTTTCTAACCCCCATCCACCCATCAAATTGTGTGACCCTGTGATAATTCCATACTCCCTTCCCCCCACATCCTCACCCCTCTGCTTCCACCCCTCTCTCCCTTGGATCCTCATACTCTTTCTACAATAATGGTTTTATACAGTATTTGTCATTGTGGGACTGACTTAGTTCACTCAGCATAATGCTCTCCAGTCCCTCCCAAGTTAAATAATAATAATTTACAAAATTACTGCTCCTGTGTGCTGCATGCGTAGTATCTGATTGTGTGTATGTACCGTAACTGCTCAATCCATGTGATTGTGGTTGGACATCTGGTCTGTTTTCATGTTCTTGTGATGGTTAATAACACTGCTATGAACATTGGTGTACAAGTCTCTGTTTGTGCCTCAGTTCTCATTTTCTTGGGGCATATTTCAACCAGTAGGATAGCTGGGTCATCTGGAATTTCTATTTTTAGCTTTCTTTCCTTTTTTTTTCTCTATAATTATATTTTATTAATTTTCATAAACATTTACAGAGATTT